GCGAATGATTATAGATACAAGAAACATTTGCATAATTGGTTAAAACTTAATGATTTTATAACTTAAAAGGTTTTTTTTAATAATGATTAATTAAATATTGTCATATAAACTGTTAAACATTATTATTATAATTTGCATTACATATTTTATTGTTAGTGAAACTCGACTACACTGTATAAGTTTTTAACATCTTCTTATACCACAGCAAACAAAGATCCAACAGTGATTCTTGCAAATAAATATTTATGATTTATGAATTTACACTGTGAGAACACAGTGTGTATCGATTTCAGGAGTTTTAATTAATATGCATTTGGATGTATGTTGTACGTAATAGATCTGAATTAATTAAAATTGAAATCTAAATATTTCCGTAATTGAGGATGTCTATGTGTATGCATGCGTGTGTCTGCATCTCATCTCATCTGCATCTAAACAAATAATTAAGTTTTCAGTAAAGTAGATTAAGTTTTGTTGTTTTTTTTAATTTAAATGTGTTTACCATTAGACAGTTCATATGAGAGTAAAAATACTCATCGCACTGTCACTCTTTACATAATGCTACATATCATATTCATATTTAAAAAATATGTATGTTTTATTGAAAGGAGGCTGGATGGAGTTTCTCATGAATTGAAACTGGTGAACGGCAGATACTCCGCGGTAGCTTCAGTTACGTTGCTCGACGCTGACCTTCCTTCACCTGCGGAGTTTATTTGCACTCTCCGAATACCTTTAGCAAAATATGCCGTAAGGAAAGAAGCAATTTACTATCCGGGTAAGAATTGTATTTTATTATTTTTTTCGTACAATCCTACCATAAAAGAGAATAGAATAGCATATTAAATAGTTAGAAGTTTTGATGGGAGCTTAATCGCAAGCAGACTTTTGCTCTTGTCTTATGATTTTTATACAGGCTTGAAGAAAATTTTTATTCATAAAAGTGGTAATATTTGGAACGGGATCTATTACATGAAACTATGAATTCGCCGGGAAGTCCACGCCGTAACAGATCTCTCAATATCCGTACCGTTGCCGTTGTAAGAGACAACTATGGGAAATGCTAGAAAAGTCTTATGATTATGGCAAATCCTCCTTACAACGGGAGAAGTCTTTATCTAGCAGTAAATTTACGGGCAAATAAAAAAGAAACATGATGAATCAATTGAGTCCGCGCCTTGATATACTACCGTCATCGACTGTCTATAGCTTTGATGGTCTGGTGATTGTAGTACTGCGACTGCTGATCATGAGGTCGTATACATTTTTGTGTCATTAAATTCTCAGTAGCTGCCCGGAGTTAGGAAGTTGGCGGTGTCTCACCCCCGTGCCTCGGAAAGCACGTAAAGCCGTTGGTCCTGCGCACGATCTCTTTCCGGTCATATCGGTTTACCGTTTCATCGGGTTATGAGAGTGAGGGAATAGAGAGAGCACCCGTGCTTGCGTATACACTTAGTTTCCGTTGAGTGAGGAACGCCGTGACCGAAACTCGGTCTGGAGGACAGTATTACTTTCGTTAAACCTTCCCAAAAACTTTGCAATGTGCAACATCAACATATTGTAAAGAAGTTCTTAGCGGTCAGCCACCGCATAGTATACTTCACCTGAGGATGCCTGGTGTAGAGGCGAAACACATATCGTATTATCGAGGGTAGTGTGTCATTCCTAGTATGGTTTCTATTTCGCATATATATATATATATATATATATATATAATATATATATTAAACATATCGTACTTTTAATATTTAACTCTTTTTGACGTGTAAATAAACATAAGTTTCCGTTTCTTTAAAGCTTGAGATACATTTAATTAAATACGATTTTAGAAAGCAAACAGTCTCGGAGACCTTGCTAACAATATCCTGTGTTCTTTTTAATATGACATGGAATTTTTAGAGCTCTGGCTGGACAAAATGCAACGACATGAACAGAAAGTTATTATTTATTTAAAACAAGCCATTTAACCGTTTTATAACTCGAAGTACATCTTTTAATTTGCGAAGGCCTTTTAGGCTATTTAAAGTTATCTAAATTGTAGGAGAGATTAAATATTTAATGCAGCATTTGCCGTGAATAATTTCATACGCCGTTAATTTCATTTTATGCCGGAAAAAATTCTCTAATAGAAAATTAGTGGATAAGGAAAAACACAAACAATTTTTCAAAGCGTCTGCATCTAGTCTTAATGAAAAGTTAACAAGAAGGCAAGTCGAGCGTGATTTCAACTGAAAAATAATTCGCGCTGATCCTTAATTTCAGATGATTCATAATACTGCTAACGTTTTATTAGACGCAAAAAATTAAAATAAACCTTTGTAATCCATCCTCTTACGATTCATGAGACTGAAAATTTATGAAACATGTTAATTATAAAAACAGCTGTTATAATTGCAAATGTGTACTGAAATATTAAAAAGATTTCTCTTTAAGTCATGTTTCAAATAGAATTTAACGAAGTTATTCCCAGTTCCAATTAAAATTTAACTAAAATAGCTGATACTGAATTCTTTGTAGAAACTTATAGGCCGTTGGCTTTAAACTGCAATTAACATTTTTATTGGTGTTGGCGAGGATCGAACCCGGAATGCTCGCGTAATGTGATATTTTGAGTAAGTGCGAAGTAAATGAGCTACGTCGGCTTTGATATGAACCTTTATAAGTAATAAATAACCTTTATAAAAACACAAAAGAAAGGAATCCAATATAGGAAACAATATTATATTTCAAATTTTTTTTTATTTTATAAACATTTGCTTCTCTCATTAGTAGGGCCCATTAGCACAACACATGAAATGCCGACAGCGGCTGACATGCAACTCGCTGCAGCTATTGGCTCTAAAGGTGAGAAATATTATATATGGATAAGCATAAACCTTTAAGCGTGCGCGAGTGTGTGCGTGCGTTAGCGAGACCTTTTATGATAAACATTCCGCCGCGCCGAACGCTCTTCAGTGCAATCTAACCCTGCCTAAGTTTATGTGGTTCGAACATACTGTCCACATAATGGTTACTGGTACTACAGCTCATGATCACCAACCGACTTACTTCGGTTTAAAGAACTTTACTGTTCGTTAAGACAATTGTCACTTACAAAAGAAAAATAATATCTATATTCCACGCCCAGGGGTAGGTATCCGAAAGTACCCCATGTATGTTATCAGAATTTTTGTAGTTAGTTTTTTGTATTTTTTTAGTGTTTTCTGCCGATTGGGCTGCAAAAGTTTATATCTTTTTTGTAGTAGTTATTTTTCACTTTTTTAAAACGATTGTCTTGATTGATACCTTCACATGTATAATAATAAACTTGCTAACATTCCAGCAAGTTACTCAAAAACGTATACAAAGTAAGAATTTTAGTGTTAGTATGGAAGATTCAAATTTTCAACTTCAATTTATAAATACAAAAGGGGCTTTATAAACTTTTCAAGTCCCTTAACTATCCGTTTTTTTTTTCACTTACATTTCTCTATTATCATGTAGTACTAAAGACTTTATACTACATTACTATGACTTTTGATGTCAAGGGCGGTACTGGTCGTTGTGTCAAATGTTTAACTACCTTTTATTACCTGAAAAAAAGATACGCTTGCGATGCCTATTGATAGATTGATTTTTAAATTGCTTTTATTTCATACATTATTGGTTTTATTTTACTTCATATTGTTAGTAACTAACTAGCCCACTACACCTTTCACAGATTTAATTTATAAATTATTCACATAAGTGCAGGTGCATGTGAATCCACTAGCCCATATTGTCTCCAGGATGTCGTTACAGGTGTCAAAGGGAAATAAAGCAGGGGACGCCCCCGTAAATTAGATTCCCGATAAAGACTAAATAATAAAAACTGCGGCTGATAGCCCGCCTGCAAAGTGTGTTGACTATGATCAACATCCACTTTAGGGGAGGACTTTATTCAGCAGTAGATTTTGATGGTATATGATGAATGAAATATATTATATTATTATTCTCATAGTTAAACAAAACATTTTTAGTTGTATTGGAATAACACATGAGTTAACAGTCCATTTTATTTCAATTGGCTTTGCCATCCCATTGACACCTGCAATTACTCAGCACTTAAGCAAAAAAGACCACAGATGCTTTGTTACCCTCGAAGGCCAAGATAAAATGTCTTGCAGTCTGAAACCGTGTTATTTTTTTAACCCAGAACATTCACACCAAAACAGAGCAATGGGTTTTGTATAATTTAATAAAATTTTACATTTTTATAAAATTGAAGTGACAAATGGTTTTACAATCCACCTGATGGTAAATGGCTATTACTGCCAATGGAAAGAAGTCTACAGATACGGTATCTCGCTACTAAGACAGAATGCTCGATAGCATGTATACTGGCCCGCTACACCCTGCATGATGCTATGTAAGTAATGCTGTTTAACGGTAGAAAGGGAGGGATTTTAGGAAGGAAAGCAATTATACCACCTAGAATGAACATTGTCACAAATTAGAAAGACACAGGCACAGCTATACAAATTTATCTATAAACGTGTTCGCTCTTACTTTTTTATATTTTATTCGCTACATTTATTTACTTATTTTTTATTATTTAAGTCTATATATAAAGTATAGAGAAGTATTTATATTAATTATTTTCTGAAGTAGGCATTAGTAAGATTGAGATCTTCCAACTTCTTTTTATGGAATAAAGGTTAAAACGAACACAAAGACCTCCTGATTCCCCTGATACATCGATTAAGATTCAAAATGCAAATGCGTTGTCACCAAGAGAATACATATATGGAATGGTAAAAACGGTCTCTTGTTCTCTAAACTGACCCTGAGAAACACAGCAGCATTATTCAGCTATTTTACACTGGTGTACTGTGCGTGCGTGGTTCCTACTAGGTCGAACCAATTCGCGCTACAACTGTAATAAAACTGAAGCGCGGCTCTACCACGTAAGAAATAACGTATAATATTGTAACCTTTGTAGTAAATTTGTAGCTTACTGTTGCTTAGAAAATTTTGTAAACTAACGAGTTAAACCAGAACTTATGATTATTCTATGTTGATGTTAAATTGTTTTCTTATATAAATTGTTTAATTTTCAGGAACAAGCACGTGCACAGTTACAGCATTGGTTTTGCTGCCAGCTTCAGCTCAGTCGTTACTGGCAGTCAAATGAAAACATTATAGAAAATTGTTTAAGGTAAGAAAAGTTATTATACCGTATTAAATCATTCTTTCTTTTGCTTTTGCGATGTCGTCCATCCAAAAGTATGGAAGAAATGCTGAAGAAAAACAAGTAACAAAATACTGAATGCTCTGTATACAGTAAAAAGGGTCTGCGATTATCTACACTCCTCATTCGAAACACAGCAGCTCTCACGCTAGTATTCTGTGAATATCCCAAATGTGAATGTAAAAGTAAATGTCACAAAATAAAAATAAAACATATTTCGTTACAGGCATCACGCTGAATATCTACGCACCATGTGACATTCCAAGTGTTCCAGCTATACGTCTAGTCATATTGTCCAAAGTCGTATCTTAAAACTGAAAACAATTGCAGAGAACTTTAGTGAAATAACACATTTTGAAAATTGGCTTTTTATGAATTATAAAATAACGTAAAAAGTTTACGCGTTTTACAAATATTATAGTTATTTAAATGTACATCTCTATGGTATGAATTTTCATATTTCAGAATATTTTCGTAACTTGAAATTAAATATAGAAAAATTGTATATATCATCCTCTATATTTCATATGATGTTATGTTGGTAAAGTAGAAAAAAAATTGCAAATTTTGGCCTAGGTTGATTATTTTTAAATAGACACAAAAGTGTTCGAATTAGGTGATACATAAAATATTTTAATTATGTTATATTTTTGAGGTTTTTAGTAATAAATGTCACTTTTGTTGCTAAATTGTTTTCGAACGCTAATATTATGTATTTATAAAATTATTGCATGTCACCCAATCGAACATGGTTTTTAAATTATATTTTTAGTTGAATTAAATATTTACAAAACAAAACTACTTGCTGTCTACATTGCATAATATATGAAAAAAAAAATTAATCTGTACAAAGTCGTAAGAATATCTTTCGTCATTTGAAGAAAGGACAATCCTTATATTAACAACAGTTCTATGTTAACTGAATGACAATATTATGTAATCGTATATCTAAATTAAGAATTCACTCACCCTTATTCCGTGATCCTTGCTGAAAAAATTGTTCGCATCGTGCGCTCTATCAACATTTGTTTAATTAATTTAAAATAAAGATTTGAGCATAAGAGCAGAAAACAATATTATATTCGAATAAGGGCTTATTAAATATTATGGAATTTGTATGAAGTAAGCTGTAAATTTTCTTTTGTGTAAAATGAAATTATGAGGCATCTGCTGTACATATTGTCGTTTATGGAGACGATCCAATAAAAACTTTATTGTAAATAATTATGGACATCAATAAAACAGACATTGTGTTTTTATTAGTTTTATTTTTTTTCCCTATTATTTTGCTTATAGTAATATAAAAAGTTACAACTATGTTCGTAACAGGCGACAGAGGAAACAAATCAGGATATGGGCAGCTTTCTTAATAACGACTAAAATAAAAAGCCGCGATTGCCAACCCGATTGTCAAGCGTGGCAAAAATGGCAAATATGCTTATGAGGCAGTCTAAGGGGTGCGCCTGTGTTCAGCAGTGGACTGTAACAGGCTGTAACGGTAACGGTATAACTAAGGTGAGATGTTAGCGGGAATGTCATCGTTAGAATTTTAATTTACTAAAAGCACCATTTGAAATTGTCAATAAAAGTATTCGTTTTCAACTCCATTGCAGGCTATAAAAGTCCACTCCTGAATGAAGGTTTCAATTTTTTTGTTTTAAGTGTGTTTTGATAATGTTGAGTTGTTATCAGGAAGATGCTGCTGTGCATCTCCTGTGCGTACGCAAGATATGTCGTAATTTCCCGAACGCTGCCCAGCCGAGTTGAATCCGTCGATTGACCTCTCGGTCGAAGTTGGACTTACCTAGTCGGACTATTTGTCCCAGGTAAACGTACTCGTCAACAACTTCGAGCAGGTGTGACATGGACATTAAACATAATCTTTGTTTTGTCCATGTTCATCTTAAGACCAATCCATTGGGAGGCACTATTGAGTGATGACTTACGGATTTGAGACATGGTCCTTCACTGCTGGCTATATGAGGACGCTTAAGGTCGCTCAGCAAGCTATGGACAGGGCTATACTCGGAGTTTCTCTGCGTGATAGACTCAGAAATGAGGATATCCGCAGTAAAACCAGAGTGACCGACATAGCCCAATGGATTAGTAAGCTGAAGTGGCAATGGGCCGGCCATATAGCGCGAAGAACCAATAACCGATGGGGAGGAAATGTTCTTCGAGTGGCAGCCTCGTACCGGTAGGCGTAGTGTAGGGCGACCCCCCACTAGATGGAGTGACGACCTGGTAAGACATGCAGGAAGTCGATGGATGCAGGTGGCTCAGGACCGTGCTTTGTGGCATTACTTGGGGGAGGCCTATGTTCAGCAGTGGACTTGTGAAGGGCTGTAATGATGATGACGATGATATATATCTATCATATTATATACATCATTAATTATATGTTAGTCTATGTATAAAGCATAGGCCACTGATGGCATAGTTGGCGTTAACATTTGAAAGGCAAACGGCTCATTCCATATTTTATCGCCTTCTTACACCGCGACTGTATCGCCGCCCGTATTTATTCGAGGCAGAATTTGTATGGTAATATTCATTTCGCATTCACTTGGTTGTTCTTCAACGCGGCTTGTTGTGGACTGCGCTCCGGGGAAATTTGTTGTCGTTTTGGGTTTAGTTCGGATGGTGATCTTCTGGATGCGTCATCTGTAACATCTATTTATTTATGCTTTTAACATCTTGTCGTTGCTTAAGAAATATCTTTAACGAATATCTTTAAGAAATATCTTTAAGTTAACCACCAAGCAAAAACTAAGGTAGAATGAATAAATGAATAACGTTATTTGCTTTGAAGATGTTACAATGGAGATGGAGATATTTATCAAAGAAAAATCCTGGTTCATCCAATGAATTAGCATGTAAATATTAATGCTTACAATTAAAAATTACATACATTTTTATTTAAAAGAAATTTACAATAACTAAATTACTAATTTAATTTTTTTTTTGCGCCCGAAGCAATTAAAGGGCTACCCTATACGTAGGGAGGCGGAAAATGCATTACGCATACCACGATAGCCGGTCTATCGTGGTTATGAGGGGCTCACTGTCCTACCGGGGACCCTAAGTGATACCCTCTAAAAACCGCCTTTGGGGACAGGCAACCGGCTGATTAAGCTCTATTGTGCCTTATCATGAGCGACCCTCTTTTGGGAAAAGAGGGCGCAGGCGGCTAAGTGCCGCTGAGGGAGTGCCTACGAAGGCAAATTAATGTTAGTTATTACAATAATTTTATTTAATTAGAGTTGGCCTGAGCCGCCAGGAGACAGTTCAGGTCGTTTGAAAGTTAAGGCGAGAGAGAGTTTCTCGGCGGACACGATAGCGAGAGGGGGGTGGGGCTGCATAAGAATCTGCCTCACGAATTAAATGGTTTGGGTGCGACTCTGAGGCTTTGAAGAAGTTCTCAGAGAGTTTTTAAAAAAATTGTTGAATTGTTGGGAGCTCTAAGTCCCGATGAAGGTCGGCATTACGGACGTACCAAGGTGCGTTCGCAGCTCGACGACAGAAGAGGTTCTGAACTATTTGGAGCTAATTTAATAATACAATCAAATTTTTATACGTGGAGGAGCAACGCTGCATCTAGATTATGGTTGTATCTGGAATGGGTCGGCTCGGCCGGGGAAGGACCACGCTTTCAAAGAATACGCATAAAATAGCAGCTTAATACTGCTGTGTTTCTTATGGTGCCTGTAGAGATCCAGAGACCCTTTTTTACTCAAAACGGGGCGTTCCATCTTAGTCCTCAAGGGTGACAACGCATAGTCTGCATTTTGATTCTTAATCGAGGATAAATGTAGATGTCTATGGGCCACAGCATCCACTTACCTTCAGGTGGACTGTGTGCTCGTTGGTCATCCTTATTCTATAAAAAAAATTAACCATTATTTAAATTCCGAAAAATACTAACACATGTGTTAAAGAAGTCAACTGAGAAGTGTTTTTAAAACTTATCGTATGGCAGCTTCATGGTTGTGTTAGGTATTTTAACATGTATTGTTATATACATATTATAAAAATGATTTATCGAGGTAACAAGCACGTCATCTAATAATACAGGTCTACCAGTATCTGTTGTTTTGGGAAATATATCTTTACTTGTTTAAAATGATATTGGTGTTGCCTCACAAAATTATCTATTTGGGAGATGATGGACAAAGCATAGAAGGAATATTTAAATCTTTAAAAAATAGTTTGTAGGAGACATCGGTGCAGCAACACAAATACCTTTTACATATTATTTTCGGAAGTCTAAACTTTGTTTTTATTGTGGCGTGTTATTTTGGGCCCGTATCCAACAACTAATTCTATATTTGCGTAGCATATTGTGATTGCCGTTTGTTTTGATGATCTTTTCGTCAGTTTATATAATGCATACGTAGGCAATTATTTTTTGCATGCTTTATTTATTTGTCCATTCTATTTTAATTTTTGATCCATTAATAAATCAAGGATCTTTAGAAATTTAGCATCTTCAGACAAAAACAAGTAACAAAGGTGGAAGAAATATAATGAACGCAATAAAAGTAAACATTCAATGCAATCACAATTTGCATATTAAGGTAATTTTGGCGAATACTTTTTGTTTAGGAATTACTTGAGTTGAGAAGTTTAATGAATCTCAGCTATTATATAATGTTTCACTGCGCAAATCACCGTTAATTGATGATAATATAGTTTTAGAAATAGTTTTAATGGAAATTTTATTTTGTACACTTCTAGAGAAGTGTGCGCGTAATTGTTACCTGCACGGAGCTTGTATCAATATCCGTTTATAGAGCCTAAGAAATATTACGCCGCGCTAGAGTGTTATCTGGTAGGACGGGATGGATGCCTCACGAGTAGTTAAAAATTGACAACTGTCTCTGTCTCTGACAACTTATTACTAAATACTAGTTGTTTTGTGATATTTTTTATCAATAATATTTCTATTGCTACCATGGAGCGAAATCGGAGAAGTAGAAGAAGTGCTGCTTGCTATTCATTCAATTGCTAACAACATTCATTACATTCATAAAACGCACAAATATTTATAAAAACACTAATATTGAGGGGAAATTTTAATGTCCGATCTGATATAACTAAAATTTCTCCCTTAACTTTTTTACTTTTAACACAATTTAAAAAGTTTTATTTTATATAACGATTTCTTATATTTACGCGAACAAACACTACACATTGATTAAAACTACTTTTACGGATTTTAACACGTAATTTATTTGATTTTTAATTCCTGACATTT